CACGAAACGCGCGAATGGTTTGCCAAGAGGGAGGGGGGGGGAGGGGGAGGAGGAGAGGAGAGGAGAGGAGGAACGCGTGGACCGTCTCTTCAAAACGAGGACCGAACACCACAGGTTGGGTGGAAACAAAAAACAAAATAATTAGCCTGGCGAAGGGCCCAAACATATTCAGCTGTAGGTACCGCGATCGTGTGTGTAATCTTCGGTGAGGTTTCTTATGGGGGGGCGCGATATGTGTGAAGGTGTCTCCCTCAGTGGGCCACGAGGCGGTGCTTGCCTTGCAGTACGTCATGCAGGGCTCCGCAGCTCCGCAGGTCGTTCCACCCAGGTGGAGCTCGCTGTGGGGCCTTGAGTGGAGCTCCCTGTGGGGCCACGAAACGCTGTCCTGGGTGGGGGAGGCGCATGCGAGCACCGCCACTGGGGCCTCCAGTGGAGCTCCCTGTGGGGCCACGAAACGCTGTTCTGGAAGGGGGAGACGCATGCGAACACCGCCACTGGGGCATCAGGTGGAGCTCCCTGAAGGACCGCGAAAAGCGGTGTGGGGGAAACGCATGCGAACACCGCCGCGTAGGCCTTAGGTGGAGCACCCTGTGGGGCCACGAAACGCTGTCCTGCTGTCCTGGGTGGGGGGACGCATGTGAAACGTCGTCCTGGGAGGGGAAGAAGACGCATGCGAACACCGCCACTGGAGCCTGAGGTGGACCCCCTGTGGGGCCACGAGACGCTGTGCTGGGCGGGGAAGACGCATGCGAACACCGCCTCGGGGGCCTTGGGTGGAACTCCCTGTGGGGCCACGAAACGCTGTCCTGGCTGGGGGAGACGCATGCGAACACCGCCACTGGGGCATTAGGTGGAGCTCCTTGTGGGGCCGCGAAGCGCTGTCCTGGGTGGGGGAGACGCATGCGAACACCGCCACTGTGGCATTAGGTGGAGCTCCTTGTGGGTTCTCGAAACGCTGTCCTGGGCGGGGGAGACGCATTCGAACACCGCCAGTGGGGCATTAGGTTGAGCTCCCTGTGGGGCCGCGCAACGCTGTTCTGGAAGGGGGAGACGCATGCGAACACCGCCACTGGGGCATCAAGTGGAGCTCCCTGAAGGACCGCGAAACGCTGTTCTGGACGGGAGAGACGCATGCGAACACCGCCACTGGGACCTTAGGTGCAGCTCCCTGTAGGGCCACGAAAAGATGTCCTGGGTGGGGGAGACGAGAACGAGCACAGCCATTGGGACCTGAAGTTGAGCTCCCAGTGCGGCCACGAAACGCTGTCCTGGGTGGGGGAGACGCATGCGAACACAACCACCGAGGCCTTCGATGGGGCTCCCTGTGGGGCCACGAAACGTGTAAGGGGTGTGGCGAAATTGGTGGCGATGATGGTGACGATAACGGTGGTGACCATGACGTCGATGATGATGATGATGATGATGATGATGATGATGATGATGATGATGACGACGATGACATGGCGATGGCGACAATGCTAATGATGATGCTGATGATGATGATGATGATGATGATGCTGATGATGATGATGATGATGCTGATGATGACGACGACGACGACGAGGACATGCGCAGGGCAGAGGCAGGGATGGGAGGAGGGAGGAGGGGGAGGAGAAAGGAAGGAAGGATGGAAGGAAGGAAGGAACGAACGAAGGGACCGTCTCTTCAAAACGAAAACGAGAACCCAACACCACAGGATGGTTCGGAAAACAGAAAAAATAGAAAAAATAAAAAAAAAACAAAAAAAAAAAAAAAAAAAAAAAAAAAAAACGAGTCCTGAATCGTGTTTGGTGGTCCTGGGTCACGGCGAGGGCCCCCAGAGGCCGAAAACTGGCAAAAGCTGGCCACTTCAATTTTGCCAGAGCCTCGAATCTCGAGGCCCGTGGTGGCGACGAGGATTGCGTCGGCGACGGGCCCAGGGACACACAAACAATTCTTGTACAAAACTCACAGATCTCAATATGTTTCGATGGTTCCGGGAGGTTCCCCCCTCCCCTCCATGTCTCATAATTTTCCCAGGGCTGCAGGGATATCAGCGTTTACGTGCATCTGTGTCCACTTCCCTCCTGACATGTGGACGCCCGAAATGGGTACTGAAACAATGGGTACAATGCCCAACAACACATGTTGTCCCGAACCAACAGCGGCCGCTGTTGGGCAGGCGGCCTTCTGTCTCGAATGGACACAGGCCGCGGCGGCGTGGACAGCGAGCCCTGCTCAAGATGAACCAGATCCGCTGTGGGGCATTGTGCCCGTTCTTTCCGTGCCCATTTCGTTCGTGCAGATGGCGGGAACGGGGCCAGGCCCTGCCAGGGGGCCGCGAAGAAGGCGGGCTCCGACCTCGGCGGCGGCGGGGCCAACGCGCCGCCGCCCTGCCGCCCCACCGCACGCGGCGGCAGCGGCGACGCCCCCCCCCCGCGCGGCGGCGGCGGCGGCGGCGGCGGACGCGCCCCTGGCCGCGGCGCCCGCTGCACTGCCGCCGCGCTGCCCGCGCCTCCAG